CAGAAGTTGTGGAATGAACAGCTTCAAGCAAATATCAACAATATGATAGCTCAAATGACACGAACCAACACTGACACCAATGCTACAGCTCCATGTGGAAGTGCAACACCAGTAGTACATATTATGTCACTGCAGCAACCACAAAAGTCAACTAATCAGACTAACATCTTACCATCAAACAAAGGAAAAGAAACTAGTCAGCCCACAGGTAAGCACACTCCAGCTACTGTATTAAATGATCTTATCATGAGAGCATCCAAGGTTTCATTCCAAGGACAGAATGGGACAACATCGTCAAGTACACTCTCAGTTACAACATCCTCAGACCAACACTTATTTAAATTGACAACGCGGAAATACCCATCCTTCAACTACACACAATTCAAAAGCATCTAAGAAGTTCATGAGTTTTCTAACACTCAAGCAGCAAAAACGGAGAGTGTTCAAATTTGGTGGGTCAGATGGTCAAAAAATAATCGAAACTCTTCCTTTCAAGCTCAATATTTTACTCAAACTATGGAAAGCAGTTGCCTTTGGCTTGTATGTGAATCTTTAAAACTTCACCTATAAAAACCTGCTATTAAGCATAAAAGAGGCAGAGGACAAACCTACACTGCAATCAGCAGAAGGCAGCACTATTTCAATCAAAAGGTGTTCCTATCACTTAGCATTTGCAGATATCTCAGAGTGGTTACTCACTTTTAAGGCATATATGAACACAGTCCTAATTATCTATGAAAACATTGAATATGAGCTTAACGCTTACAGAAATCACATCAGTGAGTTATGTCTCAAACAGAACTTTCATGCTGTAATGTTCTATAACAAGGATCGGAGAGTGACCTTGGTGACAAATCGGGACTCAACTCTTCTAGACCGTGAGGTTGAGGTTGAGGGCAAAAATTTTGATATAACAACAGCAAAAAAATACAAACACAACACAAGTCGCACCTCACAACCCGAAGTGGAATGGCATGACGGAAGAGAGATATGTATCAACTGGAATAAACAATACTGCGCAAATGAGAGAGTTTGTAGAAGAGTTTATGCCTGCTTGGTGTGCAAAAAAACTAACCACAATAAACAAAAATGTTTTAAAAATTTAGCCAAAAGAAAGCAACCTACTTGATAGCTGCAAAATAGACAAAAATATACAGCAATAAGTTTATATGTATTATGCATAAATTAATAATGACTACGCGCAAAACAATAACCCCATAGTATACCTAAAATGAATTACAATAATGAACCTACTGCATGTTTAAGAAACAATAACAATGACGATACTTACAGTCTGTAATAATAAATAAGAAATAATAATAACAATAATAAAAAAAAAAAAAAAAACTTTTACCCAAGATGAATAATAATAACAATAATAAAAAAAAAAAAAAAAAACTTTTACACCCAAGAAGAATCAACATAGTTAAAGCTTTACCAATTGCTACAAAAAAAAACTTTGTTGCACACGTGAATTAATAGAAATAGTGAGATCACTCCAATATACACAGTACAAGAATTACACCAGATACTATGCAACATTGTCACTAACTACTCCAACTCCACAGATCCAAAAATGGTGTCAGATTTCAAACATGCTGCCCAACACAAAGCAGCCTGAGGAATTACCATATCTGAGGCCCTCACTCTTCAATCAGTCAACTGCACACTTACTACTATTCCCCCATGCAATATATTGTTAATAGCTACTAAGAATAAAATATACAGACAACTCAACCCTAATATTTTTAGCATCTCTACCCCAATTGATATTGAGATATTTGCATACCTCACAAATAATCACCCTAACTAACTATTTATATCTTACTTACTCAAAGGACTCAGAGATGGGTTTATATTTAATTTTTCAGTTCAAAGGACTAGATTAATTCAACAAAACTTAAAATCAATAGAAATTGATTCCCCCTCATTTGCAAAATATATTCAGGATGAATGTATACAAGGACAATATGTGGCCCTTTTTCTGAACACCAATCACCATGTTAGCTCTTTTAGACAAATCCTTGTGGTTTGGTAGAGAAGAAAGACACTAATCCCAAAGTGTATCATGTAATATCCCACCTGTTAGCTCTATTTGGAGCAAATATAAATAATAAAATAGACAAGATTGGGTTTGGCACACAATACGAGAATATAAGTTATGCTATTAGGTGGATCACACACTATAGACATGGATGTTTTTTGTCAAAAATTGACATAAAAGAAACAGGAGGAACCGTTGATACGTCACAAAATCATTACACAATTGATAAAAAATTTTTTTATATTATTTTACAATACTTTTTTGGAAGGCTCGTTTGACTTATCTTTTCTATGAATATTGAAAATGATTAAACAAACATGAAGCTCTCACTTTGCTTTACAACATGTTTTTTGAATCCCCTTGAATCCCACGGTTTCGTCTTTTTGTAAATTTCGCAATTTGATTGGTTGACTAATCCCGTAGTGATATTTTGACTGGTCGATACAATGAGTGATCTGTGTAATGAGAATGAAAATCATATCTATATTTGGACGGTTCCTCCTGTTCATAAAAGATGCTTACAGAATTTTATCAGTACACCCCATAGACCAGGTATTTTAGAGAATTACATTTGAAGGCCAAATATATTTTGACAAAGCCTTATTCTTCAGAAACTGAGCCTTAGAGGAGGCATATTTTGCAGGTTTGCCAATGTACTTACATATATTACAATACAACAAGAAGTAAAATCAATAATTTACTACATTGATAACTTTTTAATCATATCAAAAAGAAATACACACAATAAGCTAAACCAGTTTCTCTGCATGCTTAAGATTTTAAATTTACCTCACAAACCTTCAAAGCTAGAAAGTTCAGATACTTCTATTATATTTCTTGGCATTCACCTTAACACAGAATCATTTACGGCTACAATTTTTGACAACAAAAAGTCTAAGCTAATTAATATATTGGAATAATGGGAAAATAAATATTGGTGCTTCAAAAAAGAGCTACAATTCTTAGTCAGGTTATTAATATGGGCTTGCCAGGTTCTTCCACAAGAATGCCTATTTTTACAATGATTTATCAAGGCCCTAAGCACAGCAAGCAACCCTAGATTCTATATCAAATTAAATGGTTTCATGAAATCAGACATCAGATAGTGGATTACAACACTTCTGAGTTGGTCAGAAGTGTATTTGATAGAAAACTAGCAATGGCTTAGTTCAGCTACTTAAAACCTTTTTATCAATACATCTAACCTGGGTGGAGGCACAATATTCAAATTATACTTCATTGCCTTTAATTGGTCTAGCAATATAGACTTATCCTTGTATAATATACAGGAGCAAGAGCTTCTAGCCACACTCATAGCAATGCTGACATTCTCTCCTATATGGACTCAGAAACAATTCATCATCGGGTTTGACAACTAGGCAAATATAGAAGATGTTTACTCTGGCTTCTACAAAAACCTTGCTGTTAATGAAATAGTAGCTAAGATATACCAAGCTCAAATACACAGAAATTTTTTAATCAAAATAGAGCACATATCAGGAAAGATAAATTCAAAGGCAACTTACTTTCATGAAATAGCTATAGACAGTTTTTGAATAAAAACCCAACCTCATATTACTTGCAACCTATAATCTCATACAAGTATACTAATCTTATTTCCAGAATCCTTTTTTTATTTTAACAAAAATGCATGATAAACACTACCTTGCTTACAATGAGGTAGATATACAAAGTGAACTAACAAATATGGATCCAAACCAAACTCAACCACTTAATCAGCAAGCCACCCAAATACTGGGCATAGAAACACAAACAAACAAAATATATGAATCAGCAATAAGACAATATAAAACAATTGTATATACAAACCAGTAGATCAATTCACAAGAAAGAATTTTGCCTGTCACTAAAGAAAACCTCATTAACTTTATCACATATATGCAAAACAAAGTTATACCTCCAATACTTCTATCATATCTATCACCTCTAAAGCACAACTACAAAATAAATCATTTTGAATAGATAAAAATATGCAATGTTCCTCTAGTAACAGAGCTATTAAAAACAATTAACAAAAATTATATACACAAACCTATTAACAAAAAAATGCATATAACAAGAGAACACTTGCGAACAATAAAAACTAGTCTAAACTTGAATAAATAGGATGGTGAAATGTTTTGAACAATAGCAACAACAGTATTCTATAGCCTAGCACAGTTAGAAGAACATCTCTCAGCAATACACAATAATCAAAATAAAGAACCAACTTCCAGAGCACTGAAATTTAAAGAAATCAATCATCATACTTTTACTAACATCCAATTGGCTCACACCAAGAACCACAAAACAGCAAAGTATACATCTCTAATCATCAGCCCACCATATATTGATTTATGTCTAGTAGAAGCTTTAAAAGCATATATAATTCACAGATTAAATTCAAAACTAAACTGTCTGAATTTACTGTTTATTAGAGCAGATAGAGTATAGGCAACAAAATAATATTTTATCAACAAGCTTAAACAAACTCTACTAGCAGAAAATATTGCTGACCACAGTTTTAGGGCTGAGGGTACAACAGAACTGGTTATATAAAAGGTTCAACTTGTACTGGTCCAGAAATAGGCAAATAGAGCTCAGATATATTTTACAGATATATCTAAGTCTACCCAGCAATGATAGTGGCTATACTAATAAAAGCATATAGTAATTGAGCCATTCTTGTATTACTTTTATTAATGTCAGTTCAAATGCCACAATTACAAAAAAAAAAATTTTTTTCATTTCTTGAAATATGTATTAAGTTAGACCAAATCAAACTCAAACAAATAACAAATAAGTACACAGTTGCATGAATATGTTCAATATTCACAGTCACAAAACTTGTAATAATCAACTACATCAAATATTAACCAGAGCAGCAAAAAAAAAAAAAAAAAAAAAAACTAACACCAAACCAACATAAAACAATAACAGAATCCCTGATATCTGATTATTAGAACAGTCTTCTAATTCTGCTATTTTCTTATTAAATAGCCAACCTGCTTCAAGCAAGCAGAAAACTACTAGCTGATACTGCTTCTTGCTTATTCTACTTCTTGCTTATTTTACTGTTATGATAATATCTAGTACAATCTTACTTGCTAATTTTCTATAATTATATCATCATTTCAGTTCGATTTACTTAGCTAAAATTACTTAGCTAAAATTACTCATAATGTATTTTGTAGACTTTATATTCTTTAATTAAATTTATTTCTAGCACCTTTGGCTAGCAAGGGTCAAAGAACCAAAAAGAAAGAGAAAAACTAGTCAGGGTCATTTGCCACATGCTACAACTTAGGCCCTCAAATCATAAAGCAAATAGCAGAATTGAGATCAAAGAATGAATCAATTAATAATCAATCAATTAATTAATTAATTAATTGAATTGCATAAATCAACACATAGCCAGAAATATATAATTAAATAAGCCACTGACTACAATTGATATATAAACAGATAACAAAGAAAAGTCGATTTCAGCACTCTTTTCTACTTCAACACAATAGTCTTTGGCAAACATTTTCTTGTCTCAATGCTCTCTTTACATACTGTAGACTCCTGATTCTGGCATTTTTCTATTTAATAGCCAGCCTGCTTCAAGCAGGTAGCAAACCACATGCTGATGCTGCTTCTTACTTATTCTACTTTTTACTTATTCTACTATTATGATAATATCTAGTACAATCTTACTTGCTAATTTTCTGAAAACATATCATTATTTCAGTTCGATTTACTAACCCTATAAAAAAAAATATATAATTATATTCCAAAAATATTCTGAAATATTATTTTAGAAATATTTAAAAAATATTCTAAAAATATCCCAGTTTATTAATTAAGTTATACTCCAGAAACATTTCTGTTTTTTGAATTTATTCCAAAAATAATCAGATACTAATCATATTTTACTCCTAATATATAAGCATTTTCCAAAATATTATATATATTTTATACTCCAGAACTATTTTGATTATTTATAATTGGTTTAGGAAAAAGCTTACTAATAATCAGATTACTTTATGTAGAAGCTATTGTTATTAATCTAGATTATGC